TATATATATTCCCCTTTTTTTTCTCATTTCCCCCACCCTAGTTCTTTCCTTTTGAACAATTTCTTCCTCTTTCACAATATCTATTGTGCCTTTTGGATCTTATTTACTCTGTCTATTTCTTATACTACGGAGACAATATGATGTTTATACATGTGAGTCTGATTTATTTCAATTAAGAGTATGGTCTTTAGTTTTATTCATGTAGCTATAAAAGCCTCAAGCTCATCTTTTTTATACTTGGATATATTTGATTTTATAAAAATACCACATCTTTTTTATGCATTCCTCACTTGATGGGCATTTGGGTTGTTTCCAAGATTTAGCTATGACAAATTGTGCTGCTGACAACATCGGTGTACATATATCACTGTGGTGTGATGTTTTCAATTCTCCTGGGGAAATACTCAATGGAAATAGCTATATTGGGATCTCTAATCCTAATTTTTTGAGGAGTCTCCTCATTGATTTCCATAGTAGTTTTACCAGTCTGCACTGCCACCAACAGTGGAGAAGTGTTCCTTTTCCCAACAACCCCTTCAGCGTTTATTATTGGTTGACTTCTTGATGGTAGCTTCTTTTTGGGAAGAGATGGAATCTCAGTGTTGTTTTAATTTGCATTTCTCAAAAGACTACAGATGTTGAACATTTTTCCATGTATTCATTTTTCATTTATATTTCTTCATCAGAGAAGTGTGTGATATTTCATTTTGCTTTGAGTTTTGTATGACTGTTGTCTCCTTATATATTACCTTAAAGTGTAGTAACTTAATGGTCACTGAGGGTTTTGGTGCCCGTTATCTTGGAGCCTGAGTCACCTCCCTCCTTAGGCTGCACCATGACCCACCTGGTTCTAAATGCCCTCCTTGATCCCCATCTATAGTGCCAACTCCTCATACCTGGCCTGGGCCCAAATGCCACCTTTCTGAAGACACTTAGTCTGATTACATGGGCTCAATTGCAGTAGTTCTAGGTCACTCTCTATTCCAGCACTCTGGGATACTAACATGGGAAACTAACCACTTATGTGAATTCACTGTAGTGTCCAGGACCTTCACTGACTGACATACATATGCTGGTAGGGCTTGGACCTCTCTTGTTCCCATCGATGTCTACTATGCCTGAAAAGGATGTAACACTAATTGGGTCCTCTGAAATATTTGCTGACCCATCCCTGCCTTTACCTTTGGAAATGACATTCTCCTGCACCACAGGAGGACACCTGAGGTGGGGTCTCTAGGGGCTTCTGAGAAGGAAGAGTGCTCATAAGGAAAGGATCCTTGGATGGGATGTGTTCTCATTTAATTTTCAATATGCTTCCATGTACCCATATGTATTTGTAAGCACACGCACATTCATTTGCATATTTACAAACATCCATATATGCAAACATTTACCCATCCATTCACCTCAATCATTCATCTCTTCAAACCACAAACACTGTAGCTAAGTACTGAGAGCCCACTGACAGAGATACTGGCAATTTTCCCTGCACCCTTGGAGTCCACATTCTAGGTTGGGGAAAACAGACAAGAAAAGCTAACAAAGAAGGACCAAGAATGCCTCTGACTCTTACAGGGACAACAGAGATATTTAACAAGAGTGGTGACAACAGTGGAGACAATGGTCCAGAGCAGCCAGAGTTTCAGATAAGATGTTGGGTGTGACCCATGCAGGTAGTGATGCGGCCTTTTTTTTTTTTTTCTTCACCCTTTAAGATGGAACCCACAACCTCATTCTTGTTAGGTAAGCTCCCTATCACTGAGATACACACCCAACAGTGTAAGCAGCTTTCCAGGCTAAGTGAGATGCAAGCACGGACACAGTTGCAGGAAGTAGAGCTCCTCCAGAAGTGAAGAAGGTGGTAAGAGAAAGTGGATATGGACCTGCATAGCTGAGAACAATGTATGGGTTTGAAGCCACTGTGACAAAAGCATTAGTCTTGTGCCCATGAGTGTGAGTGGGAGAGAAGTGAATAGCCATTGTGCAGTCAAGAGCCCAAACTATCATATGATATCCTATCAACTGAGGTGAGCCCCTAACCTTCTCTCTATGTACTCATAATGCAGCATTGAATGCTGATTCCTTGACTCACCCTATAAGCTTCTCCTTGGATCTTGACAAAATTCTGTCTATCTGGTGGCCCCTTTTTCTCTCCAGTACCATACGGAAGCTTCTTACCCAGGCTACCCAAAATTGCGCCTCCTCCATGATAGAAGATAAAGCCTCGACAGGAACTGGAGGACATTGCCTTGGGCTGGAACAGCCTCACAGGGATTGTTCCGAAGTGCAGGTCAGTCACCACCACTTTAGGGTCCTGATGCCTTGTGAATATTTTGTCTTGTATGAGCTGAATAAATCTGAACAGAGAGCAAATTCTCAACTTTTCTAGTACATTCCCCTGTTGGAGACAAAAGGAAGAAGATCAGATGGAGGGGAGGTCAAGATTTGGAAGGCAGGTCCCACTCAAATTACAACTTCTGAGGCTTCTTATGCCTCTCTTTTTATTTCCTGAATGTTTAGCCCACTCATTGCATTTCTGTGTGCTCTGTGTTGTGTTCATGTAGGTAACTTGGCTCTTATATTTGTCTCCTCCATGCTTCATGTTGAAATTTCTTTCCTATTATAATAGTGTTAAGAGAAAAACTTTACTGATGTGATCGCCTAAATGGATCAAGTTCCCTATGATGTGAATTCAGGTGAGTTATCCCTGAATTGGCACTTGCCAAAATAATGAGTTCTACCAAGTTCCAAACTCAAGTGTGCTTGTCTTTCTGCCAAGGGATGAAGCAAGATGCCATGCCACACCCATTGCTAGTGCCCTGCTCCTTGGCCTTCCCATTTCCACAACTTTGAGCCAAACAAATCCTCTTGTTTAGAAAATACCTCCTCTGTAGCACGGTTAGAACTTTACATGAGCATCAGTTTGCCAAAGTGGCAGCTGAATGTGTGTCACAGTGGAAAAAATACAGTAAAGAAAGTCAAGCACGCAAGGCATTTGATCAATGTTCTTGCTCTCTGATTCCCTGCTGGGCTCTACCCAGCCAAAAATAGCAAAGCATCTTGGTCACCTGCTTCAGCACTCATTGCTGCCCATGCAAATCTCTGAGATGGAGGGTCCTGAAACTGTGTTAAAATTCAGTAAAAAAGTGTAATGTGACCCTTTGGGGGCTTGGGTTGGGAGCTGAGAAAGGAGTGTAAAGACAGCAAATGACTAGATATGACATGTGATCAAAAATACTGTGTGCGTGTATACATTTTTAAAGTTTTACAATAGTAAGAAAATTTGATACTTCAGAATACTTACCCTTACTTTACATTTATCCTATTATGCTTGCCTCTTTCTGAAACAGTTCTGGAAGTATTCTTTCATGAGTGTCTTGAGTTTTGCTATTGTGTCTGTTTTGGGATCCTGAACTGATTCAAATGGTTTAATTGTCCTGGTCTTTTTTACTTTGGCGAAGGGCCAGAAGTCCCAGAGTGCCATCTAGTGAAAAGATGGGTGAGGACATTCCCATAAGAGTTCACGAGGCTGCTTCTCTTGGTTGGCACTGCACAGCAACATGCATTGTGCTTTTGATCACACCATGTAAAGACATTCACAGAAGAGGACTTCTCAATGTGCTTACAAAAGTGATAAAAATGATGACATTAAGAAGTACAGAGTAGATGGGCACCCAGGCCAGGAGTGTGTGTAGGACATTCAGTGCCCACAGGATTTTACGCCAGCAGGCGCCAGGCCTGCTGGGTGTGGGGGACCTTCCACACGCTCACTGAAACCTTGTCCACCAGACAGGGCTGGTGTGAAACAGTACAGCAGAACTCCCTGCAGAGACACAAGGGGTGAGACCCACCCAACTAATTCAGGAGCAGAATATCTTTCCAGAGGGGCTCAGCAGGTCCACTTCAGCAGGCAGCAGCAGGAAGGAGCAGAACACAGTAGCCAAACCCAAACCAGGTGCTCCTGGATGAGTTTGAACTTGGTAGATCTGGAACTGGTAAGCTGAGACACTTTGTTAGACCCAGATCTATGAGAAAATTCTTTCTCTTTCTCTCTTCATTGAGAGGGGGTGCAATAGGTAACTGGGGTGACTAATATGCCTGGAAGACTACAGATACAAAAGGAGAGGTGATCAGACAGAACTTAGGGGAACTAATTTAAGTACAAGTTATCTATCAATCTAATAGCTGCTTAGCTATACAGTAATCTAAAAGGCAAACTCACTAGACAGAAAAGTTTGTCAACTGCTACCCATTATTAGTGTTGCTAAATATAGATCTGTAAATACAGAACTGTAACTGTCTTAATGACATAATCTTTCTTGGGTAATAATATCAGTACATGCTAATGTAATAACTGCACCAAAGCTCAGAAGACAGTGATATAAAATGACAAAGAGAAGGAGCAAAATGCAGTCTCAGGCTTCAAGCTCACCTAGAACAAATGCAAGAGATGCCAGCATAGAAGAAACTGGAAATCACACACCTGAAATCTCTGAAATAATAGCGTCTGAGGTAAAGAAACAATTGCAGAAAGGTATAGAGTAAATCAGATCAGAAACAATCTCTGAAGTAAAACCAGAAATGATCACTATAATGAAAGAATTACTAAGTGCTTCTAAAGAAGATGCTAATTAAAAAAATAGAGAGCAATAGAAAAATGATGGAATTCTTTAATGAGCAATATAGGAAAGAAATAGAATGCATGAAGTACATTCTAAGAGATACACAGAAAATTGAAACCTCAATCACAAGCCCGCAAAACTATTTGAATGAAAGTGAAAATAAACTCTCAGAACTTGAAGATGCCATTGCAATTAGTGAAAAGATAAGAAAAGATCTCTTAAAAACAACTAGGATGCAGGAAAAATAATTCTTTTTATTTAAATTAATTTTGTTGATAAAGAAATAGCAATGAGATAGTTTCAAAAAGGTTAGTAGGACAGTGACAATAATCAACACATAGCATATTGTTGTCTTTGTAGTAGTCATCATAGTACAAGGTGCAGACATGATATCTTGTCTAAACAATATTAGTACAAATCTTTCTTCTCATTTCACTAAGAGAAAGTATATATATATATATATATATATATATATATATATGTACAAAGAGGTTCTTCATTTATATCCCCTCTTTTTGGTTTAGTTTTCTTAGACATGGGTATTCCAATTGAATTCAAACATTGAAGGTGCATGAATTCAGCAAAATAAACCAATATAATACAGTAGTCAATAACAGTAGTGGTTTATCTGCAGAACTGGCAGTGTCAGAAGTTGTTGACTTCAGCCTTTTACAACTCAGCATATTAATATGGCTTAACTTTTTATACCTTAGTGTTCAAACTTTTCTTCTGGATGGTTAAGACCAAGATAAAGCAAGACCTATATAACAAAATATGTAACTTTTGTATCTGACAAGGTCAGTCAAATCCCCTCAGGATTTACCCTGCAACATTGTACAGAAGTTTGTAGGTCTTTTGCCAGTGTCAGTCATCTGGAGGAGTCACGACCACTGCTTGGCCAAATTGCTCTCTAGATGACTCTCCTTAGGCAAACTCTACATCGTTGATCACTTTCTTCTGTGGTCCCCTAATTTCCTTGAACAGAAACTTTGGGACATCACTGAGTTACAGGATGTTACAGTGCAGATTCTCTTATGTCTTCAGTCCTCACTGACCTTGAAGGACTAGTGCCAAAATCTTGGCTATTCTTGTAGCCCTTTTTTCCCTAACTTTTTGTTCTACAAACTTCAGTTGTTAACCTTACAGAAGAGAAGCTTAATGATGTTATAAACCCTATAACATAGGCAGTTGAGCTTAACATCTCTATCTGTCTGAATATCAAATGCCTTAGACATAATGTAGAACAGGTATTTTCCAACAATCGCTGATTTGCTAAACTTTAAATCTTTATACAATGTGAAAAAAATAAAAAATACAAAATATAAAAATAAACATTTACACATTTTTACATGGAAATTTAGAAATCCATATACAACATTGTAGCAGGACAGTCCTATGACATTATTTTCTTGCCTTTTGTCTTATCATATCATCTTTTTTTTTTAAAAAAAGAAACATTTACTTCAGAGACAGTAGAGCAGTAATTGATATGCTATTAGAAGCAGTATGCACCCAGAAGACCTGAATGACAGGCATTCCAAGCATGTCCCTAGTATTACACATTGCTATCCTCAGTGCATTTGCTTAGTTCACAGATATCACCATATATAGTTAGTCAGGGTGAGAATTCTACTCGTTAACTGCTAGTTTCAAACTCCTGATGGAGATTCTCAGAACGATTGCCTTAACCATCTTGTGGATATAAATGCATGGTTTTGCCCCTGCCATTTTTCCTAGATTTTTCTCCTTGCCCTCTCTTTGTCATTTATCCCAAAAGTTCTTGCTTTTCATTTAGTTGTGTTATATGTTTCAAATTTTATTTCTTCTTTTGAGTGCTTATACTAGGTAGACTATATGATAGTTATACATGTGGGTCTGGTTTCTTTCACTTATGAGTAAATATTCAAGTTGCATAAATTTAGGAAAATATAATTCAACATCTGCAAGGTGATGCAAGGTGAACAATGTAAGACGAATAGGCATCAGTGAAAAAGAAAAATATGGGCAGAAATGAAATAAAAAGAATAAGAGAAGAAGTAAGAGCAGAAAACTTCCCAAATATGGGAAAATAATCTGACATTCAGGAAGCTGAAGCATATAGAAATCCAACTATGATCAACTCAATTAAAACCAGACCTAGAATATAAAAATCAAGATCCCAGAAATCCAGCACAAGAACAGTATACTAAAAGTAGTGAGAGAAATAAAAAGATCATATGTAAAGGAAAACCCATCAAAATACCGGCAGACTTCTCTTCACAAAACATCCAAGTTAAAAAAGAGTATGAAGCAAAGTACTTCAAGTCCTCCAAGAAAACAAATTCCAGCCCAGACTGCTATACTCTGAAAAAATCTCTTTCAAGCTTGATGGAGAGGTGAAATACTTTCGTGGCAAAGACCAAATAAAAAATTTCTTGATGACAATGCCAACCCTACAGAAACTACTAAAGGATACTATGGAGGGAACAAAATGACCACAACTCCATGAATGAGAATGGAAAGAACCCACCAAATAGGGCAAACAATTAAACACAGGAGAAAAAAGGATATACAACAGCAGGTAAATAACATGTCAATCATAAGTTAACATATCTCAATTATAACCATCAATGTAAATGAACTCAATCATCAATTAAGAGAAATAGACTGACACAGTGGATTAGGAAACAAAATCCAACAATATGCTGTATACAAGCAACACACTTACCTCATAAAGAAATTCACAGAAGGCAGTCAAAGGATGGAAAACAATACTGCATGCCTCAGCACCTCAGAA